TTGAAGATCTTCAGGATGACCAATCTGGAAAAAAAAAAAGTTGGCGTTAAACCAACATTAGTCAAATAATTACTAATTATTACTAATCTTTACTATTTTTTTTAAAGTAGAAAACCTGAGTTTGACTGCACAGATCACCCACCTTGTCTCTCAGGTCTCCATATGCAGAAATCCCAACGTATCTGTTCATGTCAAACACCATTGATCACAAATTTAATACAAAGGTTGGGGACCGCTGCTTTAAACAATTGAAAGGTTAAACGTGATATAAAGAGCGAACACGCGTGTTTTAGCAAAGCAAACAATAACAAAAGTTCTCCACTTTAAGTCTAATGTAGTTAACTGAAATGAATTAAATCGGTCAAAACACCTAAAAGGATTACAGATCCAAACTTTCTGTCTCAATCGTTCATCCGACCAAGTCGAGCGGCTAATGAGAACTAACGCCGAACACCTGTGGCCTTTTAAAGCGTGCAGCGATCGTTTCCGGCGTCTTATGCCACGTGCGTTTCCGCCGTTCATCCTGCTTGTGGTCACAAATTCTTCCGGCGTCAGTATGTTGGGGCGTGGTGCGTGTGCGTGTGCGTGTGACAGGCGTGTGTTTTGGACATTTATAAAAATACGGACGAAATCGCGTCTCGCATTAGTTCAATACGGAATGCAAAATGTAATTGCCATTATTATGATCCAGTATTTTACGTGATGGTAACTCTACTGGGGCAGTAGCCTTGTACATGTACAACTTGCGTCCTTTGTCAAGTGGGCAAAAGGGCAGGTGCTACAGCACCACCCAGTGTCTATCTGCGCACACTACTGTTAACAAGATGAAGGCTTCCTCTGGTTTTTTCCAATTAATTAGGTTAAATTTTACTCTCAACTTGTGAGGATGTTAGTTATCCTTATGTGTCCCTGTGATGGATTTGGAAACTGTTTAGAGTGCCCCTCTGGTCCTCATCCAACGACTGCATGGATTGGCTGCGGCCCTTATTGTGACCCTGACAGGGCTCAAGAAACAGATGAATGAGCAAACACGTGTAATTTTAATTTATTTACCGTGATATTTATTTTTTTAAGCACAAAGGCTGTATTAATGCAATAAAAATAATGAGTATAAAAGAGGTATCGGTTCAACAAGATTTGTCTTGCTGCTCTGTGGAAAAACAAGTATATTTAAAACTAGAAGTTGTACAAAACGTCTGATCTCCTTAATTTCCTGAAGGGAACCACAATTTTCCCAAATGAACTTCCTATCTACTTACCTACCTAACTAACTACCTAGCTATCTTTCTCAAAATATTTCTTACCTTTTTTTCTCTGATACAAAAGAAGTTTTCTCACACACATAGAACAGTATCTGTGTGAACAGACAGTATCATGGGAAACACCTGGTGCAATGTCCAGACTAAAAGTTATTAAGTTAGCCAGTGGTAAAAGTCCAGATTCTTAAAGACTGGGGGATTATTTCTGAAGACATGACACAAACAAAGGAGAAGCAACTGAAACCCAACACGTCACTGTGGCCGTTCAGTAAAATCCAAACATGAATCAAACGATAGAAAGTTGTCATTTTCAAAGCAGTTTGCTCTTTAACTCCGGCTAATCTGCAGCTATTGTAAAGATGAGCTGGCAGATAGTGGAAATGCCTGCTGTGTGACTTAGACCTTTGACAGATCAGTTAATCATCAGCTCGGGGACACATGCATTTTAAAAAAATAACATTAGACAGCAACGCCTCTGTGATAGCTGCTGAGGGATTGTCTCGTGGACTGGACAGTGTCCTACATTGAGGAGACATTTTACATGAGATGGCAGGAAGAAAAGCCACAGGTGTCTGCGTTCTTTACATTCTGCTTGTCCTTTGTGGCTTCACACTCTGTTTGGTGAGACATTTGCTTTTCACATGATAACTATTGTCATGACTGCAAGTCATCTACACATCGATAACTTTTTTTTAACTTTTGGTTTAGCCCACGGGGAAAATCACAGGTCAGTTGTTTGTTCTACAAAATGAAGGTCACAGATTTAAAGTTTAAAGTTTAACTTTCTTAAAGTGCACTCTCACTTTTACAGACCATGATGTGGACGGGGGACAGGACCTCGACATATTTGACATAAATGAAGGTATGCAGGTTATGAATGTGCTCCAGTTTATTCTTCAGTTTGCAGAAAATTCATCTCCTTGTGCCTGGATTCCACAGCTGCAGGACTGGACCTGTTTGAAGGAGACATTGTCCTTGACGAGGTTCAATAACAACTTTCATATTCCAAGTTATTTTCTTGCCAACTTTCACTTTCTGCAGACCCATTATGTCGCTTTTTACTTATGATTTGTGACTTTTTTCTGACTGCTCCAGAGGCAAGCCCGGAATTCAATAATAGGGGATGAATACAGGTGGCCCACCGTGATCCCATACGTCCTGGAAGATGACCTAGGTAAGATCACTGTATGGAAAAAATATTTAAGGGGATTTCTGCAGTGAAAAACTTAAATGCCCTATAAACATTTTTTATAAAATGTCAGATTAAAGAAAATTGTAATAGATGAGGCTTTTGTAAGCGACAAGAGTTAAAAATGGCATTTTTTGGTGAATATTATACAGATGGATGCACACACACTGCCCCCCAGGCGCTTAACGCTGCCCCCTGCTCACATTGGTGATGGGTTAAAAGCAGAGGTCACATTTTGTTGGGTGTGCACTTTCACTTTCACTATATTTTTTTCATGTTTTTGACGATTTGTGTTGTTTGTGTTGTGATCCAGTTGTGTGGAAAATAACGTGAGAGTAAAGGAAAGTATCAAAAATTAATGAAAATATTAACATTTAAATCATTTAATTATATTGATAATTAATTTGTGACTTAATGTAGTGGTTCTTCATCTAGTGGTCAAAAAGGGTTAGGGTATTCTAAGTGAGGAATTTTAATTATTATTGCCATCATTTCAATGTCATTTTCTCCTCCCCCACTTTGAAAGAACTGATTGATCTCTTCCACAGAAATCAATGCCAAAGGTGTGATCCTCAAGGCCTTCGAGCAATACCGGCTCAAGTCCTGCATCGACTTCAAACCGTGGAGCGGAGAAGCCAACTACATTTCCATCTTCAAAGGAAGCGGGTGAGACAAACCCGACAGCTACGTTTTTAATGGCGTGGTTGAAAGTGCTGTTTAAATTATGTGCATGAATTGTTTCTTTTTTTAACATTGCATTACAAAAAATCCTAATTTTTGTCACCAAGTTGTTTTTCCTCTGTGGGAAACCGACGAGTTGGGAAGCAGAGGTTGTCAATAGGAACCAACTGTGATCGCATCGCCACAATAGAACATGAGTTCCTTCACGCCTTGGGTTTTTGGCATGAGCAGTCAAGGGCAGACCGTGATGATTACGTCAGGATCATGTGGGACCACATATCAGATGGTATGGAACCTTTCACTACTTTAATGACTTATGTTAACAAATAGAAATGTTTATATTAGTTGTTTAACTAATTTTCTACTTAGTTATTTTTGCAAAGCTATTGATTTGAACATAAAGAGGCCTAATTATTTGATAATTATTGACATTTGTGTTGTTTTTTTCTGATGCCATCAATATAATAATTTAATCACAGCTACTCTGACCTCTGCTCAACATACTGATAATCTCTGTTATACTGTAAAACTTATTGAGAAATAATCAAACCTCCACCCGGATGTGGCAGTTCAAAATGAAAGATGCACTAAATAGGTCAAACTTAATCACACCATCAGGGAGAGAACACAACTTCAACACCTACAACGACACCACATCCAGCTCACTGGGCGTGCCCTACGACTACGGCTCCATGATGCACTACAGCAAAAACGCCTTCCGTAACGGCACTGAGCCCACCATCGTCACCAAGATTCCTGCGTTTAGTGATGTCATCGGCCAGCGCATGGAGTTCAGTGACAGTGACCTGCTGAAGCTGAACCGTCTCTATAACTGCAGTAAGATGACAGCCGACACATGAGTTTGTTAACTGTTGAATGTACAACACATGCTGAAGTTACAACCCTTTTATTTGTGATAAAAACATCTTTGGGT